AGTTTATACGTTTATCATAAACTATTTTTTAAATAAATATTTCTTTTTTTGAATGAAAAATTCTATAAATTATCGTCTCTCAAAAATTATTATTTACAATGTTTATTGATAAAAAAAAAAGTAGTAAAACACATTTTTCGAAATAAAAAAAAAATTTATAATTTCTCGTTTTAAAAATTAATTTCTTTTCTAATCGTTGATCATAAACACTTTAGCATCATTTTTTTTTTATTATTTTTCTACTTTTTTAAAATTAAGAATTTCTAATAAAAGTATAAGAAAAATAGAATAATATTATAATAGAAAATTAATAATTAATAGAAAAATATTAGAAATATTATTTATTAATAAAATTAGAAATGCTTTAGCGTTTCATAATCCACGAACTCTGAAATCGCTTTACTTTTCATTTGTAAGATCACAAATTGAAAATTGTTCTGTGTCATGGAGACCATATATTATTATGCTCAATATCTTGTAAGAATCGAACAAGTTCAAAATCGTTTCCTTCGATTTTTTGCTAGACAAACTAATGTTCGTTTTGACAGATTTTCACACGAATATGACAACTTACGTTCATTAGCGAGCATATACCCAGACTCGCATCTAGATTTGACTATTTTGATTTACTTTTCTTTTTAAAAATTTTAACTGGATACATTGATTACCCTCCTCTACTATCACTCATTAAATTTTCTATTCCAATACGTTATTCCAGACATTATGTACTGTTTCAAATACCATACCATCGTACAAATTACGGAATTAACTCTGTCATTAATAGATTATCTATAAAGGCGAATACGATTGCTAATGACATTGATTTCTTTCATATTAACATAAATGCATTTAGTACAGCACTGCGTAATCTATTATTTAATAATTAGTATCTTTCTTTTCTAAATAACGAAGCTGAAGTACGCAACGTTTATGATAAACGATTTTTAAAGAAATAATTTTTTAAAATGGAAAATTATATAATTTTTTGCCTAAAAAATATTTCTTATGGGTTAGTCCACTGACTTTCGTCTAATAGTGGTTGCGACCAAATTTTAAAAAAATCTGGTTTTAATATATGTGAAACTCGATGATTCCCTGAGTTCATTAACCATAATATTATGGTAAAAATTTTATTTAAAAATATTAAATATCAAAAGTAGGAGGTTCACAATGTGATTTTGTAACCTTAAATTTTTCAATTTTTTTAAAAACGCTATTATTAAAAAACTATTAAAAATTAGATGTTGGAACTCACCAAAAACATAAATCACTTTATTCTGCACAGACGAACGAAAGAATTATTGCAAAAATTTATTATTTTTGGATGATATACGATTTTAAAAAAAATTTTATTTAAATAATCTCAAGATTTTTATTTACTTATAACTTTTTTGTCGGTGCTCCGAAAAAATTGAGGTTTTGCACAAAGATTTTTTATAATATTCTTTATCTTCTATTAAAATCTTACGAAGGTGTTTTGCTTCTTTTTGGAGATGTTAATTTTCAAAATTTTTTATTTAAAAAGGTTAATTAAAGGACTTGAAGTTAACTGACCAATTTGAAATCGCTACATTTTAATATATTTTTATAAAAAATGGAGCAGTTTGAATTTAGTTAGTTAACTTCAAGTCCTTTAATTAACCTTTTTTAAATAAAAAATTTTGAAAATTAATATCTCCAAAAAGAAGCAAAACACCTTCGTAAGATTTTAATAGAAGGTAAAGAATATTATAAAAAATCTTTGTGCAAGACCTCAATTTTTTCGGAGCACCGACAAAAAAGTTATAAGTAAATAAAAATGTTGAGAATATTTAAATAAAATTTTTTTTAAAATCGTATATCATCCAAAAATAATAAATTTTTGCAATAATTCTTTCGTTCCTCTGTGCAGAATAAAGTGATTTATGTTTTTGGTGAGTTCCCACATCTAATTTTTAATAGTTTTTTAATAATAGCGTTATTAAAAAAATTGAAAAATTTAAGGTTACAAAATCACATTGTGAACCTCCTACTTTTGATATTTAATATTTTTAAAGGGAATAAAATTTTTACCATAATATTATGGTTAATGAACTCAGGGAATCATCGAGTTTCACACGTATATTAAAACTAGATTTCTTTAAAATTTGGTCGCAACCACTATTAGATGAAAGTCAGTGGACTGACCCTTATAGTTTTCATTAATCAACAAATTATAAAAAAATATTTTTGTAGGCAAAAAATTATAGAATTTTTCATTTTAAAAAATTATTTCTTTAAAAATCGTTTATCATAAACGTTGCGTACTTCAGTTTCGTTCTAAATAGCAGCGTTATACATATATATATATTATACAATTTGTATTTAAAGGGTATATACTTTATTTTTGAAGTCCCGTATATAAATAAATAAATATAAAAAAATATATGTATATAATAGTGCAGTTTAATAAAATAGAAAGGTGCTCTGTTTCATTGTTTACCTTTCATTAAATAAAAAAACTAATCACATAAGAACATTGATTTTCAAATTAAAAAAAAAAAATTAAACAAGTCAACTCATGCATTTTCAATTTATTTTAAACACAAAAATATTAGAAGGAAAAAAATGTCAAAAAATAATTATATATTTTTTGTAATTTTTTTTCGTTTAAATACTTGTCTCATTATCATTTTATAATCAATTATAAATTCAAAGAATTCTTTACTGAACTTGAAAGGATCAATTCAAAAGAGAAGATTTGCATCTCTATTTCTTTAGGGAGGAGTTATTTTTATTTGTAAAAAAAAATAACTATCACTTCCTACGCTTTTATTACTTATACATCAATGCAAACATTGTTACTTTAAGTTAGGACATCCGATCATTTTATCATGATTACACAAATTATTATTAGTGCCTCTTCACGAGCCCAATAACTTCATACTTTATTAAGAAGAACGTTCAAAAAAAACTATATTTCCGTTTCTCAATATAAAATAATAATAATAAAATTATTTTTTATTACTGTAATATTTATCTGTACCTTTCTGTATTTAAAAAAAAATAAAATTTAAAAATTATTTGGTTCAAGGAAATATTTATTTGATAATAGTCAAGTAACCGATTATTTGAATTAAATAAATTTTTTTTTTTTCAACGAACTTCAGCGAAAGAAGATAAAATAAATTTAATTTTAATAAATAAATATTAAAAAATTGTATAAATAAATTTAAAAACAAAATTAAATATTAATGAAATTAACTATATAATATTAATAAAAATAATGAAATAAAGAAAATAATATTTTTCAATGCTTAAGAGTGTTAGAATCTTTTTTTTCTATTTTTAAAAACAAAAAAAAAAAGTCTCATTACATCGTTGACATTCAATGACTAAATTAGGTACATAAAAAAAGCAAGTCAAGAGCAAACACCGCACTATTAACAACCCGAGTGTACTTCGTTACTTCCTCTTTCATTATTATAGAAGCATGGTTAAAAACGAAAATGTTTCTCTTTCAGAGCTCTATACAAACAAAACTGAATTATTAATAGAAAATAAAATAATGAAAATAAAATTTAAAAATTATATTTCCGGATATATGTAGTAAAAGAATTAAAAAAAAAAAAAAAATTCCGGAAGAGACAAAATTAATTAATCCTAATTTATTCATTCATTTGAAATGCGTATCCGCACCTGATAATCAAACACACACAACAATGACGTAACAGTAAACATAACTTGAAAGAATTCCCTAGACCCAACATAATGTATATAACCAGCCAATAGAAATCACGAGACTACTCATATATATATTGTCCATGGACAACCTTGATGACTTTACTCATATATGTTTTTGAGATGCATCGGATTACAATGAAAGAAAAATCTCACCGTTACTTATACTTTACACATTTTACACGCCACCTCAAACCGCATTCATCTCAACGAAACTTAATATTTCAAAACTGTAATTCAACACGTTGAAAATGGTTAATGAAGAAGGGGAGGAGGAGAAAATCTACCAAAAGACAATATTAAAATTTACAAATTTTTTTTACTATTAACCTATTAATTTTGCAAATTACTTAACGATTTTTCAATTTATATTATTAGTTTTCAAAATTAGAACAATTTTTATTACTTCTTCACACTCTTACTATCACTATTAATATTTTAATTTAAAAATTAGTAAAATACTCAAAATCTAAAATATATTTAAAAAATCGTATTTTAATTTTCCTTCATTACAACCGCATTTATAATTCATGAGATCATTAAAACATTCACAATAATATCATCTTGAACTAAAACCAATTTAAGTGGCGTTGACTAATAACTAATAGATCATTAACAAAAATAGCTATTATAAATATCACACAAATTTCAACCTTTCAAAATCTAAAATAAAAAACATTGCAAACTTAAATTCCTAAATCAACTTTTAAAATTATTTTTTACTAATTATTATTTTTCACATAGAAAAAAAAGAGTATAAAATTAGGTCACAGGTTCCCTGGATTCATTGACAGGTTTAATGCTGCCCTCACGCAAAGGGAACGAGTATCATAGGAAAATAAGCCACAACACTTGACAGAAAAAAGTTTCAAAAAAACCAATAATATCAAAACTAATAAAATTTTCACTACAATACGTGTCATTATACAATGAACAAAAAATAATTTTTCATATTTCTTAGAGAAAAAAAAAAAAAATGATAAAACAAAAATTATTATGCTTTTATCCCCAATGTTGTACAGTGGATTCATTAGGGACGAGTTCACAAAAAATATGTTTTTTTTTATTCATTTTTCAAATTAAAATTTTATCTCATCTTTTAAATTAAATTTTATTATTAATAAAAAATAATGGAAATTTACATTAAATGTTTCTAATTGACATATAGAAATATGAAATACACGAGTCAAATCGGCGAACGCCATTTTTATCTTTGGACAATACACCCATTGCATTATATTTGCTGTTAATATTAGTTTATTTTGAATTTGGCAATGATTTTTTTTTTAAATAACACTTACCCTTTTTCAAAGTTAATCACGAAACACTTTATCACACCAAAACTGGCATAAAACTTTCACAAAATCCAAAGAAAACTAGCAAGCTCACTAAAGTCCAACCACACACTCGACCGGCGCGCGACTGACAAGAGCGTCTGCCTACGCGAAACATAAACTAGTCCCTACGCGTAGGAATTTTTTAATTTTTTCACAATACATTCATTATAATATTAAATGTTATTTTCAATTTATCGTATTTTAATTCCCTATAAAAAATTTATTCTCTCAGTTAGAAAATTTCGTGATATTTGTTTAAATGTTTAAAATATGGAAAAAATTATCTGTAACCTGTACAAGTAAGCATACCCGTATCATTGATTACTGTCACCCTGTACTAATTATCAATTTATATTACTCATGCTCATATATTTAATTAAATATCCACAGTAATTTTAATCAATTTTTTAACATTATCTTAATAATTATTTTAAAAATTAAATTTTTAATATTTAAAATTTTTCAATTATTTTTATTTGTTGAAACTAAAAATAAATTTTTGTTATATATAGAAAAGAAATATTTAATTAATATTTGACATCCGTGTATTTTTTTTTCCTTAGTCTACTGATAACAAACATTGAAATAATACAGTTTTTTTAAAAAAATTACTTCTCATACATACAGACACGGGTGTTTTTGATACTACCAAATACTTTATGTACTGGCGCAACAATACAAGTTAAATTATGACATCATCAGTACTGTTTATATCGGGCACGCCCCATGCTTCTTTAATTCGAAACAAATTACATTTTTATTACAGAAAACCTTTGATTTCTATTATATTCTTGATATTTAATGAAAAAAATTTTCACTTATGACAAAACAATTTAATTGTCTCGTGTGTATATTAACAAACATTTTTTCTTGTAATAAAAAAAACAATTTTTCTTTAACATAGTATATAGAAAATTACTGTTTATGGCGCGATAATTTGAATGAATATTTTGATAAAATAGAAATATAATAATAAATAAAAGTTTTAAAGTATAAAATAAGAAAATATTTATTATAATTTATAAAATTATTAGCTTATAGTAATTTTTTCCAAAATTTTATTGATATTAACAGTACATTTTTGGTTTATAATTTTTTTTTTTATTTAAATAATTCATTTCCTTTAGTTATTTTTATAGAACAAATGATTTTTAATTTATTATTGTTATAAATAGTAATAAAAATTATTACTGATAAAATAAATTATTAACTGTAGGTAAAATTGATTTCAAATGGACAGTCGATAATGTGATCGTCTGTTAAAATAGTAGAATTATAGAGGTAATGTAGATAACTTTATTTTCTGTATTAGCTTAACAGATTTTTAAATATTCAAAAATTGAAAAATAAATTAAGAAATATTGTTTTTTTTTATTTTTTGTTTTCACATATTTTAATTGACAATTAGTTAAAAAAAAATTTGTTTACAATGTTAATAGAGGTTAAGTTTCCTCAATGAATATTTTCGTCATTTTTCACATTTTTTATTTCAATAAATTATGAGAAAAAAAAATAATTAATAGAAATTTTTAATTAAATTAGCTTTATTTGTTCAATGAAATCATTTTTCTAATAACTTTTTTTTCGTCTCTTAAAATCACTTAAAATAAGAAGGTCGTGAACCTTAATATTGATTAAATTATATTTATAGTTTATACAACCATCAGGTGTGTGACATGTCAATGAATTCTGTATTACCCTTGAGAATTAATCCAAGTTCCTTATATATTATTATTATTATTATTATTAGAAAAAAATATTTTAATATCATTTTTTGAAATTGAAAAAAAAAATTCAAATTTTTATTATTCGATTTAAATTTTGTATTTATTTTTATTTTATATTAAAAAAATATATTTTTAAAAATGTCAAATATTTTTTTACATTTAAAAAAAAAATTTTTAATCCAGGGGCGTAGGAACCGGTATTGCAAGGGGGGACACTTATTTAATCAACAATTATGTACGAAAGTTAATAAATCTGTAAATTTATGAATGAAACGTTTTAGAAGGTTAATAAAAAATGTTATTAAAATTAAATTTATTGCCGAGATTAATAATTAATATCTGCATTTAAATTACATTGAATATGATGGTGAAAATAGATATTTTACTGTTCGAATAAGTATAAACCTATATCTCATATAAATTGTCCGATAAGGTCTATTTATATAATTTTATTGAACCGATATGATAGAGAAATTATTAGCTTTTTTATATCTTAAACAAAAATTCAATTTTTTATAAAAAAAAAAATAAATTTTAATATTTTAATAAAAATGTTTTTTAACTATAACAAAAAATTAATATATTTATTTATTATAAATTGAAATAATCATTCCACATAATAATCGGTTAGAAATTTTTTTTTTTTTTTTTTTTTAGAACAATTACTGAAGTATTCTTTATTATTAGTAATATTAAAGAAGGTTAGAGATGATTATGAATTTTCGTGATCTTAAATATTATGTCTTCTCTGTAATAATGAGTAAATTATGACCTTAATGCCAGTTTGTAATTTCAATTGCAATTTATTTTTTAATAACTTTATGTCTTATGTAACTCTGTATATATATATATATATAAGAATCGTTTTTTTATAGTACTTTTTTTTCGATTGAACAAAAAAATTGTTTATTTTAATTATTTGTTAACATTGTATTTTTTTATATAGCTAGAAAAAAAATTAATTAATTTTCTCTCTATTCATTTTATTTACTGCATTTAGAAAATTTTAACCAAACTTTTTTTTTTTTTTTTGCTTTTTTAATAAATAATTTTTTTTTAATAAACTAATTAAGGCTTATAATAATAATTTTTAAATTCCTAGGGTCAGTTGGGGTAAATGGGGCCAGGGGGTTATTTTCGTAATCAGCGCATCAAAATACATAAAAGTACATAGTGTAAAAAAAAACCAAAAATTGAACAAAAAAATCTGAAAACATTGTAAAAATCGTTTGCCCACGATCGGACTAGGCTTAAAAATTTCGTAAAAGGAAGTAGTTTTTTTTGAAAAAATTTTGAATAAAATCGATCAGTATATGTCAATTGAGAAAAATGACTTGTAATCTTTAAAACTTAAAAAACTAAATAGTAATATCATTTGAAAAAAATTTTCGATTTTTTTTTTAAAGGTACGTTTAAAAACACACATATTTTGGAAAAAAAACTTTTAAAATTGATGCATTTTTAAGGAAGTTATGAGCATTCAAAAATTAAGTCCATTAAAATTTAAAAAATTTTGAAAAATTCATATCTCGTAAACGGCTCCCAAGAAGCACGTAATATAACCTCAATATCAAGGTAATATTACATGTAAGATTCGTAATATAACGTTGTAATATTACAGTAATCTTACAGTGATCTTAAAATGTCCGCCTGAAGGTAATATTCTAATATTACCGGTAATGTTACTGTAATATTACGCGCTAATATTAAGGTAATATTACAGTAATATTGCAGTAATATTATACCGTAATATTAAGGTAATATTACAAGAGAATATTACAGTAATATTATGGGAACATTTCTTTACGAAAAAAATCTACCCATCCAGGGAATCGAACCCCGAACTCAAAGCACACGAATCCAGAGTTTTACCAACAAGCCAAATTGACTTATAATATATTTACGTTTTTTATGCTTTATGAATAACTCAAATCAGTCTGTAATATTACTGTAATATTACCGTTAATATTACAGTAATATTCCCGGTAATGTTACCTTGAGGCGGACATTTTAAGATCACTGTAAGATTACTGTAATATTACAGCGTTATATTACGAATCTCACGTGTAATATTACCTTGATATTGAGGATATATTACGTGCTTCTTGGGCTTGCTAAAAAAATTTGAAAAAAATCATGAATGCTAGTACTAAAAGAAAAAAAGTTTCATCGCATAACCTCAAAAAATAACATTATTATACAATTTTACATAGTTTCTAAGTTAATTTAAAAACTGTTTGGTTAAAAATATATTTAAAAAACACTTATTAAGTTATTTAATTAGTCTAAAATTTGTTAATTTGAAATTTGTTTAAATTATAATTCCTAACCTAAAAATATTCAGTAATAATCGTAATAATAATAAAATTCCAATAATAATAATAATAATAATAATAATAATAATTTTTCAGCAACTTTTTAAAAATTATATACAGAATACATATATGGTTAAAAGTTTTTATACAGTTTAATTCGATGAAAACAATTTTTTCTTTATTTTATGAACAAAACACAAATTTTGTCTCATAATAGCCCCAAACGCAGAATTTTTATGATACAAACTTTGATGTTTATATAGGGTCAGTTGGGGTAAATGAGGACAAGACGTTTTGGAGCTTAATTTACAGTTATAAAATTAAATTCAACGTCAATATTTTAACCTCAGATCACCTGCAAGAGGTTTTGAGTATTGCCAAGCTTTTATCTTGACAATTGGCGCAGCAATATAAAAAAAGTTATCGCTCAATGCATAAAAACTTTAAAATCAAAGTCAAACTGTTTCCAGTATTTTGTCGAGCATTTCAAAGAAAACAGACTTAAAAATCATACCAAATTTTTTTCTTATTCCTTATGACTCCCATAACAGAAATTCACTTGAACTTTTCATTTTTATCAATTTGGTTAATAATTACAAGCTGTCCCCATTTACCCCAAAAATTTGAAAACTCAGGGTAAATGGGGACAGCTTGTCATTATTAACCAAATTAACAAAAATCAAAAATTCAAATGAATTTCTGTTATGGGAGTCATAAGGAATAAGAAAAAAATTTGGTATGATTTTTAAGTCTGTTTTTTTCAAATGCGAAACAAAATACTGAAATAAAAAAAAATTAAAAAAATTTCAATTGGTTCAACTATTAATCTACTACAAATTTTTTTCAAGTTTTTTCATCCCTTAATACAGTAATATACTTAAGGAAACTTTTTTCTTAAACCTTTCTTAGAAACTATGCTGTCCCCATTTACCCCAAATTTTATGAAATTTTCTAAATTTTGGGGTAAATGGAGACAGTCATTGTGAAAAAAAGCGATTTTGTCCCCATTTACCCCAACTGACCCTATAAACATTAAAGGATTTTTTTTTTCTAAGTTATAATATTTTATATTTTTAA